GAACACTTGACTACCTAGCTCTGGCCCTGGAAAGACCTAGACACACCACCACCCAGCAGCAGGGGTACACCTAGTACCCAGGCTGTCTCTGGAGACCGCGCCCTACTAAAAGGAGCCAAGGCTCCTCAGAGAAATAGTTAAAAACAGGACTGGGGCTGGGAAAGGACAAGTTCTGCCTTAAACAGATCATGAGCCAGAAAGTGAGAAAGTGCCGACAACTGGTGGGCAACTGGCAAAACCCAAAAGCCAGCTTGTTTCCTGGTCACATGTAGGACAATTTAAACACCAAAAATGAGTGATGACAGGAATGAACTATCACCCTGAATACAACAGTATGATCATGGGCTGTGGTTTAGAGAGGTCCACCCTCTGAGATGGACTAGGAGGAAGTGTGTCCTTTTCTTGTAAATAATTTTAAAAAGGAATTGAGAATGGGGCATGTTAGGCAGCTTTGCAGATTTCCATAGAGCGTCCTGCCCCGACTCTATTTAAAAAATTCCAAAGATACTGAAAGGTTGAAAGGTCTCGTGCAACTTACTCTCCTGAGTCCTACTTTAGATTCACTTGCCTCAGGTGCTGTGCCACTCCAACCTTTTAGTATCTCCTTGTTACTATTTTTGTTAGAGCATTTGAGGGTAAACTGTGATGTGACCTTTCACCACTGCATTCTTCAGGGTGTGTCTAAGAACAAGGACATTCTCTTCCTCTGCAGTATGATGTTCAAAATCCTGACACTTAACATTGATCTGATGCTTTATGTAAAATACAGTCCATGTACAAACTGACCAGGTATTCCAAAAATGCCCTTTTACTACCACCCTGACCCCAGGATCCCATGTGCATTTAACTGTGATGTCTCTCTACTCTTCTTTGAGCTGGACGAACTCTTCAGCCTTCTGTTTTCACAGTACCAGCCTAAGGAAGGCCCCTCCCTCAGTTTCAGTGCGTCATATTACTTCCTCATGCTGTGATATGATTCAGGTGTACTTTGGCAGGAGCCCCACAGTTGGCTGTGATGCAGTGTCCTCTTCAGTGTGTCCCCACAAAAGCACCAGCTGCCACCTTGTCACACTGTTTCGCTCACAGGTTACTGGGTAATAACTCTGATCACATTCAGGGCGATTTACCAAATTTCCCTCCTGTAAAGGTACTGTTTTTCCTGTCTTAAGTGTCTGTGGAAGGGGCTGTGAGACTGTACTGACCCCACTGCACATAACTCGCCTTCCACCATGTTTACTGTAATGGAGATGTCACTTCACCATTATTCCTGTTTACCAGTGGACCTCTCTAAACCACAGGAGCCAGGAAGGATGCACACTAGGCGCTCCTTGATGGGGATTTTCCTTTGTAATGCCATGTTTGGATAATAGGTCTTCCGTTAACAAAAACAATTTCGTTCTAAGATACACACCACAAACTCCACACTCCGCCGAGGCCTTCATTGAAATTTCCAGCCAGCACAAGTCACAGGAAAGCCAGAGGGTACAGTATCAAGGGCAGTAACTGGGCCCTTGCCACAACAGCTAAGGGTGGAGCAGAGTGCCATGTAAAGGGGGTATCAGTGGTAACACTCCTCACTCAGATCATTGCAAAAGCTAGGGGAGGCCATGCTGGTCTCTCATTGGAAGCCACCATACCATCTCACATAGAGAGATAGGAAAAATGCTCCAACCACTGACCCATGAAGGGTTTGAGTTCTCCAAAAGGTCACTATACCACTATCTCACCACAGTGTATGGAAATCACACGTTCAAGCCAGAGATAACAAAAAGATGCCAGTTCTTAAGTCTACTGCTGAGATGAATGTCCTGACTTCTGAAATCTTATGACCCAAAGTCTTCACTAAGTCCTATTTATCAACAATGAGAAAACGAAGTTTCACCCACTTGGGAAATTATATGATAAGACCAAAAATGTTTCTCCTGTTCAGATATACTAAGCCATGACCCACCCACTTTTGAGTTCTTGCGTAAAGTTTCAGGGGCGTCAGTTAATTCATTAAATATAAAGGAGCATGTGTAAAGAGATACATCTAAATTAAAAAAAGATATCAAGTGCATTTGTGTCACATGTCAAGCCAAGGTCTGCCAGGCCCCATTAGGAAGGAAGGCAAGCCCACTACTAAAGGGGCAGCGTGCCAGCCAATGTGATGACGGATCTATGGAGAGGACCAACACTGCCCATTTCAGGTGAGAAATGAGGGGGAAATTCATCTGGACAAATCCTTGTCATCATGCTATGTCTGTAGAAAACAAGGAGATGAACAGTGTCGACCTAAGAGCTTACACAATTTACTAAGGAAGGGCAAGCAGGATAGGCCCTGAGGAGCTTTGTCAACCTGCAGATCCTCTCCAAATTGGAACCAGACAGCAGGTGACTTAAAGCAGGACCCACAGCTCTGCTGTCCTGCCCTGGTCACACTGCTCTTTGAGGAGCAGCAAAACGAGGTTCTTCCAGGGGCCGCTATGGGATAAGTCTGACCAGACACACAATAAGAGTGGAGCCCATCAAGATGTCTTCAACTGTATTAACTTTGCTGTAAAGATCTTCAATACAACGTGGGCTCTTAATGACTCCCCTCCACCTAAGCACTCAATTACAACATTAAAAAAGTGCTGGTGTGATATAGTCTTCAAATTAATATAGGATCCTTGCAAGGAAACCAATATCATAAAAATATGAATAGTCATTTTTGTACAGTGCATTACAGCCTATGTGGGGGGAAAAGGGAGGGGCCTGTTGTCATAAGCAGCATTCCTCTGAGAATGCCACAGGGCAGTACACACGTTAGTGTCCTTGGGGACAGCACAGAACCATTCCCACCATGTGAAGACTGTTCCTGATGAAAGAAACAGACCCCCCCCCACCCACAGAAAACTGAGGAGTAGCAAGGAGGAAGGACCAAGTGGCTCCTGTGAATGGAAGCAAACTTGTACAGCTTCTAGCTTCATCACTGATAAGACTCCCTGAGGCTGGTGGTGAAATATTAGAATTACAGCTCTCATTTAACTACCACTTGTATTCATTTCATACTGTTTCTGTACCTTCAGGCATCCAGATGCAATGCTAAATCAGAATAGCCACATCGTGTTTTCATGAACCTTGGCTGGCCATTTCAAGGTTGTTTTCTTGCCAATTACCCTCTTAAATAATATCAGCAAACATGCTCTACAGTCATTGATAAAGAACTGCTGCCTGTGATCACAGACTCCTGGCAAACACCCATTCAGATTGGTGAAAAGTACTCCTTCCACCCTTGTCCTTAGAAGTCAAAAGCTACAGCTCCCTGTGCACTGCCATCTGACTCCTTTACTAACAAACTTCAACAGTGCTGCACTGCGAAAGTCCCCAACACATAAGTACACATAGATGTAGATAAGAAGGAACAGATGAAAAAGAAACAGTTCTACTTGGAGCAAATACTCAGTCAGCCAAGAAAAGGTGGTTTGCTAGGCTGGTGTTCAATAGACGTCCACAGAACCCCTGCTAACCTGAGCTCAAAACATAAGTCATCCACCTGAGCCCAGGTCAACCTGAACTTTAAAGTCCAGGCTTTAAAGTTCTATTACTACCTGTGGCTCTATTCCCAACCAGGAGCCCTGATGGCAAAACAGATGAGTGCTCAACTGTCAACCAAAAGGCACAGAAGGAGAAAGACCTGGTGATCTGCTACCTAAAGATTACAGCCAAGAAAACCCCATAATGTAGTTCTACTCTGTCACATGGGATCATAAGGAGTCAGAATCAACTCAGTAGCAATGAATTTGGTTTGTTTGTTTTTAAAAAAGGTCAGCAATGTTTTCATGAAATGCACACCTCACTGGGTATCTGTATAAGAACTGACTCAGTCTCAACAACAGGCATCTCCATGGAAACTCTACAAGTGGTAGCTTAAATGTTTCCCTCCATGATTTTCCCTTGCTGGTCAGTCATCTCAGATCAGCTCCTCAAATGATAGAGCCAGGTTATTACAGAAACTACAGAACTCGGCACAGTGAACAGGTGGGATTAAAAAAAGACAAATGCCCACGGCAGATCTGGAAAGTGCAGACACTGAATCCTTTGCTTCAACGCGACAGAAGTGGTAGCTTTACTTTGATAAAAGCTTCCTTCCTTGCTCTTATGACACACAACAATACCAAGTATTCATGGGGAACTCTTTGGGATCTAAACTTTGAATGGTGAGCAGTGGAGTGGTGTTCCTCATCACAAACCTAGTCCCTCCCAGTACTCCAGCTACCAGAGACTTTGCCTAGGAGGAAGAGGAAGGTTGATGCGTAAGGTCCTAGAGTGGATCCCTTCACCATTCAGCGGCGAAACTTAAGAGTATGTTTTTAAGTCTTACTTCAGGGCTCACTTCAAGGACACAATAGCTCTTTCCTCCAGGGTGGCTGAGATGTTAGATGAGATAGTCTGCCAGGGCTCTATTCGCAAAACAACGTAGACTCCACCCCCCGCGGACACTTTTCACAGCAGGCTGGCCCCTGGTCCCAGCTATCCGAACTGGATTGCCTCAGAGTCACGCGCGAGGTGGGCAACACAATTTCACAATTTAATTTAAACCACACTAAGACTTACTCCCCCCACCCCGCCTCCGTTCACATCACTAAGGACTGCCCCCCCCTCTGCCCCCCGTGCAGTCTCTTCTCCCGACATCCAGTGCTTCCAGCCCCAGTACGTCCTTGCTGTGGCGGGACTAGGTGTGGCTACCGGGGGGTGGGGGGTAGGGGTGGGGGGCAGCCCAACATTAGGACTGTCAAACGTGAGTTTCCTGCTGACCGTGCTCGGGAATCCCGGGGGACCGCCCGAAGCCCGGACTCTTGGTGTCTGCAGGAGGACCATTCCGGGAAGCGCGGTCGGCGGAGCGAGGTCGGTGACAGTGGCGCAGCCATTCGGGGGACGCGACCTGAAGGGGGGGGCCTTCTCCCGCGCCCCGCAATTGACCGTACCCAAGCTCGGCCCCGCCCCAGAACCACCCCGCGCCTCCACTTGGCTCTCACCTGCTCCGAGCGGCTGCTGCACGGCGGCTACCGGGAGAAGCATCAGGAGCAGCGAAAAGCCGCCGAGGGGCAGCACCCATCGCGGCGTCTGACTGCTAGCCCCGCCGGACGCCATGCTCGCTCGAGCCCGGATACTCAACGCGTAACGAAACAGTCTCTGACGCCAACCCAGCGAACTCTAACCGGAAGAGCCGCAGCGCCGGAAGCTGGGCGCGCGGGCGGGGCAGCGCGAGTGGCTCAGTGCGCAGCCGCGGCTTCGTCCTCCTCCACCCCTTCCCCCCCTCCCGCTCCCCTTCCAGTCCACCTCTGGTCTAGCTGCAACGGCTAAGGCCCATCGCGCATGCGCGACGGAGGGGCGGGGTTGTTCTACGGTAAAGGGTGGTTTCCTTAAGTGGTGAGGGAGTCGGGAATGTTTCAACACCTTGGTTACGCTACCATCCCTACGCGGTTGGTTCCATACCCTGCCGTGAACATTCCGTTTGGGACATCTCTGTCTCTGCACCTCCGACCCGACACCCCATCCTAGGAACTCCGTATCCCTAGCACCCTCATTCCTGTCCGCTTCCCGGCATCCCATTCCACTGATGGAGCTGGTGGTCTCGGTCCTGCGTAGGGCGAAATGGGGCTCTATGCGGGAACTAACCCGCATAGAGGCATTGTTGTTGTTAGGTGCCTTGTCTCCTTGGACTCATAGCAATCCCGTGTACTGGAGAATGAAACATTGCCTGGTCGTGTGCCGTTCCCACAATCCTTATGTTTGAGCCCATTGTTGCTGCCATTGTCAGTCCATCTCCTTAGAGGTCTTCCTCCTTTTCCGCTGAACCTCCAAGTATTATGTCATTTTTCATGGACTAGTCCATCCTGAGAACATGTTCAAAGTACGAGAGAGAAGTCTCGCCATCCTGGCTTCTAAGGAACATTCTGATTGTACTTCTTCCAATACAGATTTGTTTGTCCTAGCAACATTCTTCACCAACACCCTAATTCAAAGGCATCAATCAGTTCTTCTCCCCATCTTCCGTACTCATAGTTTAGTTTTCACATGTACATGAGACAATTGAAAATGCCATGGCTTGGGTCATACACACCTTAATCCTCAAAGTGACTTCTTTCCTCTTTAACACTTTAAAGAAGTCTTTTGCCGCAGATTTGCTCAATACAGTAAGTTCTTTGCTTTGTTTTTTGATGTTGTTTTCTTGACTTTCTTCCATGAGCATTGATCGTGGATCAAAGTAAAATGAAATCCTTGACAACTTCAATCTTTTCTCTGTTTATTATGATGTTGCTTATCAGTCCAGTTGTGAGGATTTTTGTTTTCTTTACATTGAATTAATTATACTGATATTGTCTTTGATCTTCATCAATAAATGTTTCAAATTCTCTTCACTTTCAGCAAGCAAAGTTGTGTCATCTGTATATCTTAGATGTTATTGAGCCTTCCTCCAATCCTAATAGCACATTTTTTCTTCATATAGTCCAGCTTCTTGGTTAATTTACTCACCATACATATGAGGGTGAGTCAAAAATTTCTGCACTCTGGCTGTATAATTTATTTTGATCAACTTTTAGGAAAGGCAAATACATCATTTTTTGACAGTCTTCCTGCTTTTCAGTACACTCTGTCTATCTGTCAACAAGCTTTCATAGTCCCTCATTTAAAAATGTTTTTGGCTGAGCTTCGAGCCATGAATACACCACTGTCTTTACTTCTTTATCAGAGATGAAACTTCATCCTCAAAGAGTTATCTTCAGGGGACCAAATAGGTGAAAGTCTGATGGAGCAGGATCAGAACTATTGAGAGGATTCTTTAACACCTCAAAACAAAGTTTTTGCAGTGTGTCAACAGTGTGGGCAGAGGTGTGTGGACGTGCATTGTCATGGAAGATCACAATGCCCTTGGATAGCAGTTCTCTGTGTTTAACCCTAAGTTTAGGCTTCAGCTCTTCAGTGAGCATCTCACTGTAATGAGAACTGTTGATTGGTGAACTGTTTTCCTGATATCCTTCCACTATTAGCCCTTGAGAATCCCAGAAAACTGTAAGTGTTAATTTTCCAGCTGATGGTTCACTTTTGAATTTTTCCTTGGTCAGTAATTGAGGATGTTTCCATTCCACACTCTGCTGTTTGCTCTTAGGCATGTAGTGGTGAATCTATGTCTCATCACCAGTTGCGATTTTTTTAAAAAACAGAGACATTTACCTTCCTTCAAGTATCAATCCAAATTTTGTTTGCAGGTTGTCCAAACGCTTCTGTTTATGCTCTTCTGTGAGTTGTTTTGGTACCCACCTCACACATAACTTTTTGAAACCCAAGTCTGTCATGGATTATAGAGGCATGGCTGATTTGCAAATGATTTGCTGCATAATCCATGGCCAGTCATCTATTCGACATGCATGTCAAGTCATTTCATATGCATTCTCAGTGTTGTTATCAGCCATAGACATGTATGGAGATTTTAATATAACAGGAGTGCAGAAATTTTTTTACTTACTCGGGTATTAAGGTGAAATGATATAACAGTAACACTCACCCTTCTGATTTTAAGCTTTGCACTGGATCCTCTTTTTCTGTTTGATTTTAAGCTATGCACTATCCTCTTGTTCTTGGTCTATGCACAGATTCCTCAAGATCACAAGTGTTCTGAAATTTCCATTCTTCCATAGTTGTTATGGTCCACACAGTCAAATGTCTTTGCGTAGTCAATAAAACACAAATAAACGTGTTTCTGGTATTCTCTGCTTTCAGTCAAGATACATCTGACTTCAGCAATGGTATCCCTTGTTCCACATTCACTTCTGAATTTGACTTGAGTTTCTGGCAACTCTCTGTCCACGTACTGCTGCAAATGTTTTGAATTATCCTCAGCAAAATTTTACTTGCATGTGATATAAATGATATTGTTCAATGGTTTCTGCATTCCATTGGGTCACCTTTCTTTGGAATGGGCACAAATATGGATTTTTTCCAATCAGCTAGTCAGTTAGCTATCTTCTGAATTTCTTGACATAGATGAGTGTGTACTTGCATTGTTGCATCAGTTTGTTGAAACATTTCCATTTGTAGTCCTTCAATAATTGGAGCCTTGTTTTTCAATAATGTCTTCAGTGCAGCTTGGACTTCTTTCTTCAATTGCATCAGTTCATGATCATACACTACCTCCATAGGATTAGCACTGGACTTCAAACCCCAAGGTCAGCAGTTCAAGCCCACCAGTCACTCAATGGGAGAAAAATGAAACTTTCTGCTCCCAGAAGGATTTACAGCCTCAGAAACCCTATACAGGGTCGCTATGAGTCAGAACTGAGTCAATAGCACTTAACAACCACAACAAATATGCAAATTTTGAGAAATGTAAGGCAATGGAAAATATAGCCTGTGGTGCCACAACATTAAAACAGTAAGTAAAAATGGAATTGCTTGCTACACGTGGTTTTGTAACTGGCTGTTTGAGTAACAGGCTTTGCTCACTACTGCTCTGCACTCCCTGGGTTCAGATTTGGACTAGCAACACTTGCCTGAGGCTTGACCAAGTCAGTTGGGAGCTGGTCCCAGGCACCTCTCCCTCTTTTCCCAATCCCTTGACACTTGTGTGTACCTGTTCTGTGAATGCTGCCCATCAGACTCTGGTCACAGAGGCCATTGCTACACTGATCCTTCAGAGATGCCCCAGCTTCCCCTAACACTACCAGGGTGTGTGGCCTCGTGTCCTTCATGGGAAGTCTCATGTATTTAACTCCTGGAGGTCTACTTGAACCAATGGACAACTTCCCTCCACAGACAGTTCCTTGGCTCCTGGAAGGATCTTTAAGATACAGCCCACAATGCCTGGGGAGGGGGTGACGGAGGATGATACATCCTTAGGGTGCTCTCTCTACATTCCTATTTCACTCTCTGTTCCTGGCCTCCCAATAATCTACCTACCCCCATGCCTCTGCCTCAAGTTCTATTATCAGGCGAAGCTAATGCTAAATTTTAAAATGTTCTTGACAAAGTTATATATGACTCATATCCTTGTTCTTATTGTTATCCGCAATATCAAGGTGACCTTAACCTACCTTAAGTCACAGGACCAAAAGATAAAAATTTGTCACTCCAAATAAATAATTAGTCTATTTTTTCTTCCCTTTGACTTTCCTCCCTAAATCATCAGATGCTCATATTGGGATTTTTGAGAAGTTAGTTATGTATATAAAGAACATTTAAAACCTCAAAAGTGCTTTAAAAGTTTATTCTCAAAACTATCAGCTATATGAGGGTAGTAAGATGGGGGACTAGGCAGAGAAGCTGTACGGACCCTCTACAACAAAGATATGGAAAACCAAACGAGACAGCTGCAATTGATTGTCCTGGAACCCTGAGCTTCAGATTAAAGGATAGAGAAATAGACTGAATGCTTACTAGGAGAGAGAGCTGAACAGATGCAGCCAAAAAAAAAAAAAGGAGACAGACTAGTGACCTATGCCAACTGACCTGATGTGGCACAGCCATTATGTGAGTGGCTTCTGAAACAAGGAAACACATAGATATTGCAGAAACTTCTTACTGGTGACTTGTGGAGATAAAGGTGTGATTATTTTCTTGTGGCCCACACTTACCTGGTGACCAGAGGTGAGGCCAGCCCCGACCTGCCTACACCCCCAGGGAAGCTTCTGCTCTCCCTGCAGTTGGGGCTGCATGGAGGTGAGTGCCACAGTGTGAGTTGCTTTTAAGGAGTGGGGAGTTACCCCCATTAAATCTGTTCTTGTAGGCCCTGTTCCAAACCTGCAGAACCGGCCCTGGTCAACCCTGAACTAACCCTCACTAGGAGAAGCAGCTGAAGAGACATGTGTGTATGTGTGTGTGTCGTGGGGAGTGATGGTGGAAGATAAAAAGAAAAGAGACTGGTGATTTGTACCTCTGTCTCAGGCTCTGCTCTCAGGGAAATGACCATTTTGAACTTTTACAGGCAACTTAGAAGGCAAGAGGGCAGTACATACTGCAGAGGCATGCCACTTATTGGTGGAGAGAAAAGTGCAAAAATTTTTTCTTGTACCACATTACCCTGGTGACCACCTGCATACATTCCCAGGAGTCTCCTGATCTCCAGGCAGTCAGAGCCACATCAAAGGGAGTGG